TTGTATCCGTTTGTTACGATTAATTATTACATCCTGTTACAATTATAACATTTTAACAAGCTATCTAATATAAGTGCAGTTTCCATTGACTTTAATTAAATTCCATGATTGCGATATGTCCGTACTGTTGAAATCGGCATGTTTTAGCGATCAGTGATACTAGATAATTTATAATTTGCTCTCACTAAATATTGTCAATTTTGTTTTAATAATACAACTGCTATTAAATTAAATTATTTTTCGTTATTGATTCTCTCTCTTTCTCAATAAACGAAATGATGAAATATGCAACAAATGAAGATGGATTTTATTAATTTAATTTTCATTTTATCTAGCCTTGACGTTTGTAACATATTTCATAGGATGTATTTTTCTTTGTATTATTTTGTGCAGGACACAATGATGGATTGCGGAGGAGATAGCGGAGAAGATAATGGAGGTTTGGAGGACTTCGTCGACTTAGCCACTGATATCACGGACAATTCACGTACAATACGAGGTAATTTATTTATATATTTTTACAACTAAATATTATCTGTACGTCATAAATATCCGTGCCAGATAATTGCCCAATCGTAAATAGTCCATAAAAAATCCAAATTATTTCTAGATGATCTAAAATTGAAGATTTGAAAGTGTAGATATCTTTTTTCACGGTTGGGGTTTGCATATGAATAACAATAACTTATACAATATGAATTTGGAATGAGAGAACGTGATAATAATTATGTTGTGCCAATTTTTCAATGCGATTATTTCTGATTACATTATTATTTAATTATACAATCAAAAATGTATACTTTCGCTATTTTTCCGTTATTTGTATATTTTCGTTTCCTACTTTTCTGACATTTCGTTTTCTAAGATCTATATGGAACACTTTAGTAATTTGAAATTGACAAGTAAATACGATAAATTTGACCTCCTTTCAAGATTTAAACGTGAAATGGAAATATTTTGCGACATCTTATATAGGCACTCGCAATAAAGACTCGTATATGTATAAGGACTTGCAGGAGAAATTCATGCTCTAGAAAATCCATATTTGCGCCCCGTTGTAAAATGTCACCGTCATTTTGTCGAAACGTCATTTCCTGTAATAACATTGGACCATGCTGTCTTGTTTCACCAACCTTTATCAACGTAAGAATAGTCGTGCAAATTTGTATTTTTTAGCAATTTGTTAAATACTCGAATTAACGTGCAATTGTTCCGTGAACGAGATTATTATAGTAAGTTTGTTTAAGGATTTGTAAATATTTTTTGAGTTTTAACAATTTTAAATGAACTGTTAAAGTAATAACGTTTTAAAAACAAATTACAAAAATGAAGTCTAAATTCAGTAACAATTGTTTCCTTTGAAGAAAGTTTTAACATTGAATATCTCTCATTTTGAAGAAAAGCTTGTTTCTTCATTTGTATAACATTGTATAACTTGTAATTAGTTTGCTGAATTGAGAGATTTTCAAGGCGATAAAATGATTGGCGAGAAAGCGCAATAGGAGCGCAATATTCGAGTTGCCTCGATTAAAACTTTTAATAAGGTGCAAATGACGTAGATACCTTCTATAATAGTGTAACAGTGCGAAACTTTGTACCCGTATTTATTCGTAAAGCGGTACGCGCGAGTAAGCCATTAAAATTTATTAGGTCGACGTCATTAATCACGGAATATAAGTCGGATACTGCTCGCTAGGAGAATAGCTTTGCGTTACCGCTTATACTGTACTTGGGCCGATCTTCTCCTGAAATATGGATTCTCTATGCTAATGTCGCGGCTTTCTGTGTACGCACAGCTACAAGAATTTCTATTCGCCGACAAGAATTATGGTCCTCCTTCGTCGGAGCAATTTCAGGCGATATCACTAAACGATATAGATTGTAATGCGACTTAAAAATGCGCGTAAACAAATTTATGATCGTCACGATGACGCCGATTGATTGACCGTGATAAAAGTCGATCCGAGTATAATTTAAGTCACAATATGCTACATCATTATTGACGATCGAGTATAATTTTATAGTCGTGTTATCGTAAATCGCACTTGCTCATTCGCGTGGAGAATACACAAACGATTCTGTTATTCAAAGATAATTTCATCAATTTTTACAAATTTATTCATGAGTTATTCAAAAAGATAATAATAATAAACATTTTATACGGCTAACACAGAAAAAGTACATTTTATAAATATTTTACAATTTATTATACAATACAAACGATACACAATTTGCATATGCGATAAATTGTTGCAATAATCGGTGCACACTCTTGGCATATAATGTCATAGTAGTATTATTTTCTATCTCTACTGCGATGGTCTACACATTGTTTTTTTTGGATATAGAAACAATCAGTTCGTTCGTTAGGTATCTTTCAGTCCCTTTAAATCGTTGCTTAACCTAACCCAACCCAACCCAGTCCAAACTTTGCTACGTCTCGTAGACTATAGGAACAGGACATTTAAATGCGGGTATCCCTGTGGGAACGTCCGGCACAAAGAGTCGCATTGATGCTTCCTTAAGAGGGAGAGAGAAAGAGATGTCTGAAAAAAAAGGAGAATCAACGAACTCGCTCTTGCGACTGGTCCAGACTTTTCTATTATCGTTAAGAAAAAAAGAGAACAAGTACTTACGACGCGGGTCGTTACGTTCGTCTGTTTGAAAAACGTTGATCGACTACCTTTGTGACGTCGAGAAAAGATATGGTAATAATGAAGACACAGATAATTTGTATAAACACGTATACTCTTTCCCAATTTTTTCCCCGATTGTCTCTCGTTTACATTAATTTGAATTATTATTAAATGCAATAATTATTTTACGTTTACGTTTTAGAATTGAAAATTAGACTATAATTTTTTTTTAATATAAAACTTTTATGATCGTGTTTCAAGTATAGGTCCTTTTATTATTGCTATTTTTAATTTGACATCGCTGTATTTATGAAATCAATCATATTTCTTTGTATATAAAAAAAACTGGACTAATTTCCTCTGCATATATTTCTTCGTCCATGTTGTCGTTTATTAAATGATTTTTACTATTGCGAATCCTGCGGCGAAACGCACTTAATCGATCGGCACTTTTCGATCGAGATTGTTCCCGTTCCCAGGAACAGGTATCTCAAAGTTACCCTCGCCGGAGAAACGACCTTTCCGCTCTCGCGATGGTGTGTGAACAGCGAGTAGCATACACATGTACGGTACCGATGCATCGAATCACATTATGACACACCACACATGGACGAGGGAGATGAGAAAGAGGCGAGGACTCTCGCCGTGCGAAATGCGGCGATTCGCAGGGCGGATGCGACAGGGTGTGGGTTTCAGGCGACAGGTAGTTCCCGTGGGACGTTTATGGGGCAGGATTCCCACAGGACCGCAAAACCGGGCCGTCGGCCTCATTGCGGCGGACTACTCATCGAATCGCGGTCCGGTTGTTACAATAATGCACTCTCCCGGTTATTGTCGTCGATTCAACGCGAGAGTCTACCGCGCCTTTATTCGCAGATGCATTGCATCTGCGAAGTCTTGTCTTTTTCGAGAGAATCTCAGTATGGGCATCCGGCGACCTAACGAGGTTCATAGTGGATTAGGATTGGTCTCTTATTGCTCTCATTTATATATTGCACATACATCAGCCTGTTATTATAAATAAATTAAAAATGTTAATTTTATTTCGTACGCAAATTGATTGTAAAATTTGATTTTGCCACTAATCTCATCTACGGATACCTTTGTGGAATCAGTTTTTCTTTTGAGTTCCTCGGGTTTCATTTCTTCGAGTCAATCTTGTCGCATTAACAGATAATCTAGGCCGTTTGCAACCTGCGTAGATGCCGCCGAACGGTTACTGACCTTGTTAGGCATGGACGAAGATGATGAGGATCTTCTGTCATCGTCAGAGGACGAGGGTGTCGAGGTAGACATCGACGAGCTCGAGGAAGACGACGAGGAAACGGATAACACCAAATTGCTGCATCAACTCGCCGCATCCCTAGCCCAAGAACTCAAATACTCCCAGAAACAATCCTCGAGCAGCAGAGTGGCGTATCAAGATCAAAGTGCGATACATAATGTGGAGATGCTACAGGATACGAGTTATCTCGGTCACGGTTGCCTTCAAAACCAAGTGGACCATTCAAAAACGTCTGTTCGTCAAAACGGTTTCGATCGCAACGATCTTAATTATTTCGACGACCTCGACGAGCAAAATGCGAATTTCACAAAGTTTACAAATTTCGGGAACCTCCGCCAGGAACCACATGGTCGAACCTTTGATTCTTCCAACTTAGATCATCGCCTGTGGACGAACGATCCAGCAGCCACAATACAGCAGGCTGGAAAATCCTTGAGCAGCCAGCAGGAGCAAAATACCGACTCCTGGACAGCAGGATGGGATGCTTGCGCCGCCGAGGCTCTCCGATATCTCGTCGAGGATGAGGGCCTACCGCTTCATCATCCTACGGTTATCGCTATGAAGAATTACCTAGATCTGCAGAGGGAGAGAGCGTTCACTCAATATACTGGATATACGGACGCCAAGTCGCAGGACATGAGTCTACTTCTGGATTGATGAGGCTTCAACATTAAGGTAGCGAGCGATTCAATTTTTTTCTTGCGACGTGTCTCGTTAAAGAATTTTTGAGAGAGAAATCTGAGATAAATTAATCTTGTTATTTAAATAAAACGAGTATAAGAACATGACGTGTTGTGAGATCGTTTGCACGAGACTTGTTTGCTTTCTTACGCATATTTTTGCCATTTTTAGTGAAACATTTTTATTTTTTTATTCACAAAGATGTTTTGTCTAATGTCAGAAATAATTCAACGTTACTATTATCCACTTTTTGTAATTTTGCTATCTTCTTGTGATTACTTTTGTTGAAACATTGCGTTGATATACATTGTGACTGGAGCGTCATTTTGATATCGGTTTTAGCTTTCGATGATAATAATTTTTAATAATACAAGTGTTCATACGCTGGATCGATATGAACGCTGTTTCGTAATAAGATATTCTAAACCTTGAAATTTGTCATGAATGTCTTAATCAAAGCTTAAAATATTTTTCTTCCATTTTTCTTTCAAAAGGATAATAGTTAATTCTTAACAATATTTCTCGAAGAAGATGGCTTCGGGCAGCATAAAAGAAAATATTTCTAGCATTTAGAATCATCGAATTGTAGAGAAACGACCGGCGAATCACAATTAGAATTATTCTTAAAACAAATTCCTAGGTTAGCCTGTCATAAATAAAAAGGCGACCGAAATAATTTAAGTACGATAAGCGGGATAACGAAGGAAAGGAAGAAAAAGTCAAATACTTTATACGAGAAAGAAGTGTGAGATAAGCACATCAGTGATCGCCGACAGAATATTGCAGAATGTTTTCTGACTGTTATGAGAAGCGAATTCGTTTACACACTCGAAATTACGTCGATAAAAATAATTATTTATAAATTATATCTGCAAATAATTTAAAGAATCGATTGTTCGAATTGTTGCATTTTGTCGGCGATTATGGGCGAAACGATTTACAGTCAGATCGTATACGAAGAAATTGGCTACGATATCGACAATAGAAAAGAGAAACGTCTAGCCCCGAAAATATTGTATATAATTTGGGTTAGGCGAGAGACGACGAGAGCTCAGAGATTTAGATAGGAACTTATTCGGTCGTAGATCAGCGAATCTTTGTTTCTGCAAAAAAGAAAGAAACAACAACGTGGTAATATGAGATTTCACGAGGAGTCCAATTCAGATGACCTGGAAAGTGTGTCTTCTTATAACGCACTAGTAGTATAATAAAAGGGTGGTTTCGTTTAGAGCAATGTTACTCGGAGCAACGATGCTGAACGATACGTGCGAAAGTGTGCACGTCGGCTGCCTTGACACGTTTCAACGACATCTAGAAAAACCACTCGTCGCGAAATCTCATAAATTTCTACATCTTTATCGTTATTTAGATCGTACGGTCGTCATTCCTCGTATACGAGACATTGATCGGGGTCGTACATCGATTGCAGCGTCAACGTTAAATCGATCTTGCGTTAATAAGAAGAGCAGAAGCAAAATGAAACGAGATAAATGAAACTGATTATCGTCAGTGATTCAGGATCGACGATTGACTTCGATCGTGCGTCACTTATCGAGGAATCAAACTTAACATTGCGATCGATCGCACGCGAAGGATCGCGATGCAACTGCTAAGTGAACTGCGGGAAAACTTGTCAAGAGTTCTTTTCGCGCCATTTTTTTACGGGAAGTAGTCGACGTACTTCCCACGCGACCGAATAGTAAAGTTGTACATATGTATAATATCGTTTTAACTTATACACAACTATTGTTACTTTTACAATAAAGCTCTGTAGATAACATTGACCAGTAAATAAACGACCGCTAAATTAATTAAGCCCGTCGTCTCGTTCTCGTCTTCCCAGTCCTTAAACTTGGCCGAAACGTTCGATCTGAATGCGTCGCAAGAATTGTACCTTTAGGCATTTCCTGGAAATCTCATTTTAATTACATTTCAATCGGATTTTAACCAATCAAATCAGGGGCACAACTCGTAAAGTGGAAATTTTATCTTGAAAATATTGTTGTACCAAACGTTGTGTACGTCGTTTACGTGACGATATAAATGTAACCTAACACTTTTATAATAAAATGGAAAATTTTTACAGCGTATTTTTACACCGAGCTAATAAATGAATACATTTGGCTTTTTTCTCAGTTTGTTGACGCGTAAGGAAAATGTCCTTTTTAATTTGTCGCAAATTTGTAGTAAAGAAAACTAGTCTCGACTAGGAGAGAGAAAGTGAGAAAAAGCTGTTTGGGCGCTCATTGGATATTCTCAATGTAGCAACGGCCCGCGATGTGATACGTGGTGCGATGGGACTTGTGGAAGGGAACATACGCGAACGAAGAAACGGTTGTGGGCCTGGCACGCGACTAGCTTGAAAGGAATCGCGCGCCGTGCACCTTTATCGGGGTCGTCCGTCGAGGAGGGATCTCTCTACGCCAATGGGGCATCTGGTGTCGGTTCGTAGCACATGCCATGCATCTGCTCCGTCGAGGTACTTTTGTTGTCTTCGACGTTTGCGTCCAGCGAAAATAAGCCAGGGCAACAGTTCGCTGTTACCAGGAGAATCTATGTGCTTTCTTTCTTACTTACCGTCTCGCAATCCTTGAAAGTTGGCCGATCTCCCGAGATCGTCTAGCGATTCTATAATCGCTACTGGGCTTGTTCAAGGGAGACGGAGAGACTTGGTACCCACAGGAGAGAGACCTGACGGTAGGGGATGTTGATGTACCGACGGATATGTGTCCTCAAGGTATATTGTAATTTCATGATTTCGCTGGAAAGATGCTGTTAGCATATATGGATGATACAAAGTGTGACATAGATGCTGTGTCATTACAATTGTAATAAACATTGGATGTATGTTGCACTACACTATGTGGTCCCTCCCCTTTTGTTCCTACCGCGGAACATCTTGCTGTTCAAGATGAAGCATGTGGTTTTTTCACTTTTTTTTTTACCATATGAAATCGTTTCGGTTTTTTGGACGCATTGGGCCAGCGCGAGAGACGGAGGAAGAGGAGATGATGTACGCGAGTCTCGCGAAGGGGAGAGAACAGCTGTCCCGGGTGGTACCCGTCAGGTGGTATCCCGTCAGTTCGTCAGCTGCGGGGGTGAGAATACGAAAAAAGGGTTGAGAGGACATTGCGCTCGGGCGACGGCCGTTGACGTTGCATACCGCCAATCATATTGATTGGAAGAAAATTGACGTATCGATACTGTGCTAGACTCCATACATCTCGCAGAAACAAGCGATGTATTGTGCGTAAAAGCCAAATCCAATTACATGAATATTCAATAAATTTATTAAACATTTTTATTGCATTTTAAGTTAACGCAGTCATATGCGTTACAATTGCACGTGTTTGACGAAATGTTAATAATACAATTGGGTGGACTCTATTAATTATGTATATTCTTGCGTTAATTTCAAAATAATTAATACTTAAGTAATTTAGATTTTAGGTAATCGTTATTGCACAGTACTTTATCGTACTGTCGTTTTATTTCTATTTTTGTTTTTTACTTTTCGTAACTACTTTGCTTCTTTTTAATGGCAATGCAATCTTGACGAAACGAGGATAATTTGCGCAGAAATGTAGAGATTCATTATCAGTTAATATCATTAAAATAATTATACGCTTCATCGAAGACACCTGCGAGTTTTGTTTATAGTGGCGAGTTAAGAGGTGAGTTATATGTTACAGACACATGTTGTTACAAGCACTAGATAACGAAGCAACTTTAAAAGTAAATTATCACTCGCATGCCACACGATGGTACGTCGCGATTTTTCCGTTCGTGAAACTTGATTGCTATTTTAATAACATGCGTGACAAGGTTGCATTCTGAGCCAATGATGACGCAGATAATTTCAAGGGAGACAGATTTATACGTTGCGTATTTTCTTTTCGACATCTTTATAAATACGATATTTACATAAATCTGAAAAGCAACTTGAAGCACAAAATATGATAATTTGTAATTTACATTGCGTTTATATCCATAACGAGCTAATCGTGTCCGACTTGTTACGTATTGGTGGACCGCAAACGAGATGTTATCCTATTCTCGTTACAAAAATATGAAAAGCTTGATAAAATCTCTCTGCGTATATTATAGTAATAAATTTACTCGTGTACCTTTAGTGTCATCAATCAAACCCTGAATGTTCGATAACTACTACTTTTAACAAATTGTCTTTGCATAACAATGTTTTCAATTTTGATTTGATTTCAATTTCCTTTTTAATTAATACATAAACGACAAAAGAGTATTATACTTGTTATGTGAATATTAATCAGTATATAAGAATTTCTATATTTAGTGAGAAATGTTGATCAAGATCGTGCCAGGACCCACAAGCCCTCGATTTAGAGACGAAAGGTGTTCAGCACGAGCCACGATCGTTTCTTCCGGGCAGCTGCCGCTATTTTTCGAAAATAAAGGTGGGCCCCGCCGTCTGTTCGCGGACCCGCCACGTGTATAAGGATCTCTATCTCATTCCATCGGCTTTTCCCCAATTAACTGCCTTGATTATTCGTCTCGACGTAAGAAACGCGGTTCATTAGTCGTATTGCGCAATTCCTCACGATTATACAAAATTACCGAGCGACATGAGTGCAATGTAGCGACTGTAGTCGAGGGCTCGACCCAATCTCCTCCGCACGGTTAGTAGATTCTGCGTTAGCAGATGTATACTTCCGGCAGCTGTAAAAGTGGTGTTGTACCTCCTTTATAGGTGCACGCGCCCTCGACACGCACGCGGCAAGACAATGAACACCGATTGGCCATTAGATCCGCATCTGGCGGATCTCGTGAAAGATCAATTTTCTATACCAAAGTATCAATTCAACGCTCGATTCGATCGGGCAAAATGAATTGAGCGTTTATATAATTTTTCGCAATACTTTTTTGTAGACCCAATGAGATACAGTTTTAAGATTTGATTTAATTTCTGCGTGTTGTTACTTGTCGAATTTAACGCAGTCTATTGGACGATCGTAGAGACTACTGGACTGGCGTTCGTGCCATTTTCGTCGGCAGATGATGCACGAAATAACGGATGTTCGTATATGAATTTTTTTTATTAATATCTTCCATCTCCTTGACGCATAACATGCTGCTACCATCTGTGCATAAGACTTTTTCCGCAACTTTAGTTTCTAAGACAATTTTTTGTACTAGTTCCCAACCAAACTGTCCCTCTCTCTCTCTATCTCTCACAAATAAATTTTATCGTACACATAAAAATGCGACGTTAGCTTTAATATGCGAGACACACTATTAATTCCACTTCTTTTTGCTCAATATCCTTTGTCTCTAGTTATCAAACAGATAAGTTATATTCCTTCTTCTTTTCTCTATTAAGAAGTTGTAAAATTGGAGACGTGATACTTGGATAAGTTATAATTTGTCGTGTTATAAATACCATTTGAAAAATCGGAATTTTCGGATGAAGCAGATGGCGGATTACGTAATACGGGATCTATCGTGTATCTGCATCTGCGTACGCTGATGGTCGCTCTGCGCCGGTTCACGGACGAGCTAATTCAGCCAATTTACTTGATTTCCTCGGCGCTGCCACAATGGACGGCCGGCATGGCCCCTATGGTGTGGCGATGCTTACCACGGTGGCCTGGCGTCTCTTGTCTTCGACACGGGAGTCACGGGACCGCCGTGGAATGCAGACGTCTCGAATTAAATTAAATGCGCGTCACTTAAGGCAAGCCTGTTTACCCACCCGCGCCTATTATTGTCACGGCTCGTCTTTGGCGTTGATGTTCTCAAAGCACCTCCGTATAGTAACAAGATTGACAATGAGACATTTATTTTCCTAAAGACACCCGTACCCTCGAGTCGACCGACTAGAAAGATCAATTCTACTTGATAAAGAGAGAACTGAGAGTGCCACTATAATTATTTTTATTTATTTATTCTTTGTAACAAGTTGATTATTTTCTATTCTATTTTTCTATCCGTATTCTTTAATTATTCCAGCTTTTGTAATAAAATTGAAGTATTAAAATAGGATCGACTGAAAGTTAGAAATGTAACAAGAGAGTGTAAAAATATTCCTCTGATATGCACGAAAATATTCAAGTTATAGTAAGGTAAATTAGATAAAAAATGTTTAATTTTTTGTTGGTTGTACATGGTCACTGATGCAATTCTGTTCTAATATTATGAATATTAGATTCACTACATTTAATTACAAAGAATGATAAAGAGAAATACAAATCTATTCGTCTATTTATAATACAATTACGGAAAACTGTGGTGAGAATCAGTGTATAATGGATAGTTACACAATCGAGTGCAATAACAGCTCTTGACTGAAACACGACCGTACCATGAAAAGCATTATAGATATAATAACACCGGTAACCAGTAAACGCGCATAAAATGGCTCGTAAACTCGCGTGTGCATCGATTGGAAGCAATCTCAGTCTCTTGTCGGACTTGAGGCGTCGCTGAACAAAATCCGCGACACGCGAATGGCGGGCGGAAAACCGGAAACGAACTCCCGAGTGGTCTAGGGTGAGAGAATGAAAGAGGTGGTCCCTCTACTATTCGTTGTTTCTCAACGGCACCCCCTTCGTCGTTCCCCTCCCATATGGTAGCCACATGTAGGTTCTGGGTACCACCAGAGGGGGAAAAGTCATCGCAGAGATCCAGCTGATGGTCGACGTATTGGTCGAGCTTCCTCAGTCACTGTTGGACCGCACGCTGGTCTGGTCTACGTGTCTCGCTAGATAAATCCGGTTCTGATCTAAATTTCCAGAAGAACGGAAAGCGCATTACAGCGACCTTGACCTTTGGATTGCGAGGTCGCGCGAAAACTAGCGGAAACGAAACGCGAAGGTGAGCAGCGAGAAATGATTAGAGATTCGAACGCGAAGTCAAAGGCATGCGAAGCAAATTGATTCTCTATTAATTAACTAACGGGACGATAATTAGATAACGGGTTTAGTAATAACGGATAATGGATCTCTTCTGCATTGTCGATTAATCATCGAGATATTGGGTTCGCGTAAAACGTAAAATGATTTTGTTATTTGCACGAATTAATCCATTTTACACGTGAATAAATCAGGGGAACAATTGTAGTAGTTGTTATCTTGTTACAATTTATATTAATCACATTTGTTCATTAATAGCAACGATTATATAAATATTATCATTGTATAATTGTTTGTTATTATATAATTACTTGTAAATAGATGTAACTGACCGTTGCCAAATGAGGCGAAAGAGCTGCCGATAGTTAAAAATTAAGTAAATAATAACGTGTATAATAATGAAATTGTAATGAATCGCGGTACCGCGATATCACGGCAATTGGCACGGACTCGCGTTGGTCGTTGAACTTCCCAAGTTGGTTAAAGTGGTGCAGGGGTGACGCAAAATCTGGCGATGGGGATGGGCATCCTTAGTAACAGTGTAATGCCGTTCGAGTATTGATTTCAGACTCGGGGTTTAGGGTAGCGTTACACGTGTCTACGATGCATTCAGCAAACATTGGTCATGCTCGTTTCGTATAAACCCTTTAGGACTTCCTTCCGCTCGATTGCAAGCCAATCTGATACAATCAAACGGCCGCGTTGAAAATTAATTTCAAGATAAGACGAATGCAACATTCCTCGATGATTCTATTTGACAATTGCTGATTTTAATTGGTCGCTAAATAGCATCTAATTTCTGACTTAATGTCTTGGAAATTTACGTTGCATATTACATAAGATGGGTTTCTACATAACCGCATGATAAAAAAAGAATAACAATCCAGGTACCTCCAGGAATGTCCCGTAATTTTAATAAATTATAATAAAACGATGCGCCTAAGATAATGTCCCGCGCCGTAGATCATGGAGAATTCCAATGACGGTATCGAATCATTCGATCGCAACTTCGTAGATGATACCGGATGCAGAAGCTGTGTGTCAGACTTCCGAGGCTGCGGTCGACAGCGGCGGCGATGTATACGAGAAGATTAAGGACCGGCAGGAAAAGGAAGTGGCGTCGGTGACCGCCTGGAACCGATACCAGCGACTAGTGGCCGCGATGGAGTCTCGAGGTGGTGAATTCAACCGGAAGTCTATGATCGAGGCGATCTTTCGCGGCAGCGATCTCGTCTACGTCACTCACTGATCGGCGGATCGATCGGACGCGAATGGAAATCTTTCGCGCGTTCCTCTACCAAAGTGCCAGCCAGTATCAAATCGCTTTCGCGTAGTGGCGTAGAATTCGCGAGTCGCAATATCGTCAGCGCCGTTTCAATATCTAATAGATCTACGTACGAGTATCTCGTCCGCAAAAATTTAAATGATATTTACATTCTTTCTTTCTACTAGGATGAAATAATAATATACGACATTGTTACTTTATAGATTCCTATAAAGAGCTAGTTATATCGCTACAAACTTATTAGAAGACTTAATAAATTTTCACTAAAAAAAATTTGTCAAACAGTAAATAGTCAATTGAAGCTCGCGTCACTTTTTATCTGTAGGGGAATATAAAATGTGAGAATGTAACGTCGAAAGTAAAATGTGAGAGCGCAGTTTGACGCGGTTAACGTGGCTGTGTATTATAGTTTGATGTCGAGCGTACTATTTTTAGATCCGCGAGGGGAGTTTAATGGTTCCGGGAGACGAATGCTTTCATAAGTTTATACTATAAAGCAAGTATCGTTACATACGCGTGTCCTTGGAGAACTCTAAACAAATAATTCTTCAAGTTGACTAAGGCACGCATATATTTTCATTAACGCTAAAGTCCAAATTGTATTAACAAGTCACGTATTATTCTGTTATATGCAATACGTTTTTGAGCAGAAATAAAATTGAATTACGTAAGAACGATAAATGCACTGCCTGGCAGGCAAAAGATTAGATTTTCAAGATAAAATTTTGCAAAATTGCTAGTTAATTATTAACATTGACGAATTTGGGAAACTTTTTACGTTCTTGACACAAGCACATAAAATGTAGCGATTACTCTTCGAAAAAAGGTTCTACAGACATTTATGGGTGATTACGTATATCATAATAATTAGCAAACGTGAGTTAACTCTTTTATGACTTAATTTGTTTTGTTTATTATTATTTTTAGTGAGTCACTAGCACCCTAATAAATCAGAGAGGCAACAAATGTAAAAGAGAGGCTGGTATGTTTCTCAGTCATGAAAGGGTTAACGCAAGCGAGCGCGCCGCGTTTCTACGCCATTGATCAATGCAATCGTAGATGAAATACGATTAACGATGCCAAACTGTGTATTACTAGTCAACATATGCATAATAAATTGTGAAAGAATAGGATAGATCGCACTTAATTAGGCAATTACGTCAACGGTGGCGATTACGATGTCGCTATCACGCGATAGACGACGGAAGGCGTGACTGTAATCTGCCACATGAATACATGCGACATTGGCTATGCTCAATCTTGCCAGCAACACTCGCTATATGTATATAAGGAAAAAATATATGCCAGAGGTTGAAGCTAATAATTATTAAATGTAAAACGATTGCGTTATCGCTAATTTCGCGAGAATAAGACGATCGTAATCGAATGATCGAAAGATAAATGGTGTTTTAATTGTAAACAAATCAATTTAATAAAATGGATTATATTTATTTGAAATTTTAACGTTGCATATTATCGATCACCATGAGTATGTATTATATTTGACAATTTGTGAGCAAAGATATTAGGATAAATATTAAAGATTAATATCTTTAATCGGACTTATGTTAAAGATTAGATAAACATTTTAATGGCAAAATAATGGAAATTTTTAACAAAGTTTTTACTTTGTACTAAAGTAACTTTAGTTTTGCCACGAAGTGATATGCAAAGGCAATCGCTGATATTTTCCTTAAATCCATAGGTAAAATATATTTACGATTAATTTATACAATTCGCTCGTCACTTTCACGACAATTAAATGAACAGATCGTGGAGCCACGCGTAATTGTATACATGTAAATAATCGCTATCTTAAATTATATCGTGATACAAATATACAAAATATTTACACAAGTAACGTTTACATAATCAACTCCCCGTCCTAGATAAATTCGCTAAGTATCATTAAGTATTTTACAACATTTTTACAAAAATAGGCACAATGCTGCGTAAACGTTTACAATAATTGCATGTACATTCATTCGTAACTAATTATTGATCGCAGCTTATAATTAATAACAAGTCCGAAGATTATTGCGATTATAAAAAAATGCTTATATAAAAAATATAGATTTTGTATTATAGAATTCCAATAAATGCCAATTAACAGTTACATAACATCAATATTATAACTTCCTACTCAAAAACGTAATTGTTATGTACATGTATTAAATTACATTTATACTGTTGAGTGAGAAATTACAATTACTGATATTACGTAGCTATTACTTGATGTTTACTGGAAAACAGGACGATTTCTCATACTTTGAGAATATATACAATGTGCGTTAGCTCGAAATGTTTATGCCAATCATTTTCTCTGTTAATAAATTAAGATTGTCATAAATCTGAATACTTAAATTTATGTACTTGTTTCAATTTTACTATCGACATGATCTTTTAGAAACGAAAGAATTTTCGTTGTATGATTGTAAGAAATACAGTCTTCCGCTTTTATCAACAATTGACGTAACGTTGTGGATTTTATATGAATTCGGTGACGAAGATTTTCTTGAAATCCGGTGCCGAGCCGCCTAGATCGTGTTTGCATATGTCACCATTGTCGAGATAACTCACGCCAGAGTTCTTCAGGATGCTTCTCAGATTCTCCATGGAGAGATTCGGCAATTTTCTGTTGGCAATCAGCTTATCTAGATCGTTCATCGAATAACCAGGCGCGATCCTCTTAGTTTTCAAGTGATAGGACTGTATGCTAGGCTTCGTATCGGATAGCTTCGTGTTGCTACCGCATTTCTTGTCCCCCCGATCCTCCGTACCGTTCTCTATGATACGCGGCGTGAAAGATCGCATGCTGACCTTTACCTCGCCGGTTCGCTTCGAGGGCAGCAACTCCACCTGTAATACAGGACGTTCTCACGATGCGGGATTACGTAAGTGTGCGCGCCTTTACCGCCGCGAAAAGGCCGATGAAACGTTCCGTCAGCGGTGAGCATTTTTCTACAGGACGATGCATTTTCTCGCATCGTGAAAGTGCCTCTGGCACGTCTTGCATTCTCTTGCGTTTAACATTAAAATCTAGTCATTACGAATGATGAGTTTACTTAGCGTTCTAGCGAAATTAAGACAATGTGAAAATAATCAATTTAATTAGTTTAGCGCGATGTGATTTAGAATAAATTGTAAGGTGTGAGAAAATTATTAATAGAAATGACGAAAATGAATGATATGAAATTACCTTGGTTCCTTTACGTTGAAAATATTCAAAGTCATCATTGGCGACCGTAGTGACGGAACAGCAGCTTCTGCTTCTGCTCCTGCAGGAGCTCATCGTGTCGAAGTCACCGTTCTCCAGATCGCAACTCTCGTCATCGGAGCTATCGTATCCGTCGCAGTGACTATCCCGTCTATGAAGATTTAGATGAAGATTTTGTTCAAGATTCTCTCTCACAAGGTCGTCTTTCTTCAAGTAGGTCCTCGTGTCGAGCATAGGTCGATATCTATGTATGAGAGAGTAAAGCGTTATAGTTTTACAATCATTTACGAAAACTGTAGATAAAGATATATTGAAATATGAATATAAATATTAATAATATTATTAGAATTCGTGAGAAAGAAAGGTCAGTTGATGAATGTAGGTTATCCTGTATGTACGATGTACGTTGAAACATGCATTTTGAATAATTTATAGGAAACTTCGCGTCTCACTTTCCAGTTGCCGTATATCGTGACGGTGGCTTAATGGCACAGGTAAAAGTGAAGGTACGCTAAAAGATACGCGAGAGCAACCGGGCGGACCGACCGACAAGTAAGTGGCACCTGGCATGGTCGAAGCTTTGATTTCTGCGCAAAACGTTTCTAGAATAATGCTGCTCTTGGAGGTTGTTTTCCAGCCCGAGAATTAGCTTCTCCAGGCCGAGAACGCTCCTAGCGTGTCGCCTGGATGGTTCTTCGCGAATCTCGTCGAGATTCTTGATTTGAAATTTTCGATTGCTCGCAGGATCCTCCAATTGCACCAAGTTCTCCATGTTCTGCCCGAAGACGTCGGTGCTGCCGATCTTCCTGCGATTACCAACCAACTCGTGCAAGCTCTCGTTTGGTCTCGGTCGTCTGCTGCATCCCGACTGCTGTTGTTCCATCGAGTTCTTCGGCGGTTCGGGGATTCTGTCCTGACGCGGTTCGAAGGTCGAACTCGTGAAGGATGATAGTTCCGCTGGCAGAGACGCGTAGTTGCTATCCTCGTTCATGGATTGCGTCTTGGGGTAGTGTTGCTGAATTCCCATAGTAATCGTGCCAGTTTTCGCTGCAGACATAACAACAGTTATTCAGTAAATAAAGACGATTACACTAAGCAAGCCAACAATTGCCATTCGTCATCAAACTTTCTAACGTGGTGTTGTCGCGCCAAGGTGTTCGATAGGTGCATTGACAAAGCCGCACGAAACATCACAATTAACAATATAGGCTGGGAGAGAGAATTATCGGACGATCGAAATATTTTCGCATCGTTAAATTTCGCTGACACATCCGTTCTCGCTCACTCACCTCTGTTCTGATGGCTGTGCAACCGTCCGTAGAGGCTTCCGTTTGTCAGAGGAAACTTTAGTCCGTGATTTAAGTTCAACTGCAGCTTGTATTCGGCATCTTGTTCAAAGTGTCGAAATTTACCGTCTATACCGCCTGAAAGAGAAATCCCAGAGAAATTTTATTACATCGACGAATCTCGCTTTAACAACTGGCATAAGAATGTTTTCCTTAATTGCAGTAAATTCAATAATTATACGAATTACTTAAAGTGGCACTCCTCCTTGAGAAAATACTAAGTTAAATGTTCTGGAACTTTGATGTAGAAACTTTAATGTAGTTAATACTTACAATTGGATGTGTTTAACACATTTTCTTTTCAATATCTCATTAAATTAGAATAAAAATGTGTAGACTGCAACAAAGGAACGATCTAATAAAAGAAATCCTCCGACGGTTGTGAAACTGTATAAATAGTTATGTATGTTGCAAAATGAAAATACGGTCGAGCGAATCGCTCAAATGTCGTTAACGATAAAAATTTCCGGCTGTCGCGCGGAATATCGCTGCTGTGCGGGCAGGTATCGCGATTATTACACGGTAGGCGTCTTACTTTCCCACGCACAGCGAACAGGTCAGTGTGTTTTTGCTTAACAAAAGAATGAAAATCACGTAGTGTCTCCGTTCGTATTGTAAAACGCGAAAAAGCTTCCGCAAAAACCCCGGTTTCTTTGCGATTGAAAAAAGAACGTACCATGCGACAATCTCCTTGCGTGATCCTGCTTTGTATACACCTTGGCCACGTATCGACAGAACATCTTGTCGAAGAGAGCCAGGAAAACCGGAAGTAGCGTATCCTTCACCAGTGGCAGCCATATCGCCAAATTTTGGGGCGTGCAGAAGTTCTTTAGAAGGCTCGGCTTAATGGAGATGATCTGGGAAAAAATCCTTTTGTTGAATTAATTTACAGATTTATTATGCTTTGAAATAATATTACACAACTTACACGAATACTGGCATAAATATTATACTTGCAACAAAACAACACTGTAAAGTGTATAATAAATAACGTAATAATGGAGATGTATAATGTAATTATTGCTATTATAGTATACATATAATATTTTTATGATCCAGTACGTTCAATATTTTTAATAACACTCGTATGAACGCGATAATCATTAATGTGGTCATTACGGTTGAATGTATAGAAAACGGTATCCCTGCAATCTGTTGCGCCTAATGCAACGTAAGTAATCTAGGCATTCTAGACCATGGCGGGATTTTCTTCGCGCTAATAAATTTCACCAGAAATCGTGTCAAGAAGATTCTATATTCAGAAATTAGGTCCAGCTTTCGCCGTGAGGAAACCACAATGTATAATACGTCGAACATTCGGATCGCGTCAATTACACGTGGCTAATTGTTCGACGGGTCTCTGCGTGTGTGTCGTACGTGCGATATCTAGCATCTTTAGAGAGAAAAAAGATCGTACCTCGCAGATAGGAAGACACACTGAAAATATGCACGAGCGGACCTCTTACGAAGGGGCTGCGACAAAAACTTTCGTTTTTAACTATGTATTCGCGCAAGAATTCGCGGTGAAAACTCCGCGGTCGCGCTTTCAAAAGTACGCGCATCGTACACGATGCAATGCGATATGCGAGCAGGTACGCAATTTTACGTGCGCTGAACACGCATGTTATATGTGAATCGTGCCGTTTCGTCCTTTATTACAATGTTGTTCATATTTTTTATATGCGAGCGATGGTGGATAATCTCGTTGGATGAATTCTTCAGTAAATGACACGATAGACAAACGAGACATCTCCGCGTCACAAGATTGAAATCCTCGATCTTAATGTAGTCACGGAATTGATTTTAACACAAGTTTTAACATATATTAATATTCCATATGTTTGCTTTCAAGTAGAAAATTTATTTCAATTATGATTTAATTAAATTTTGTTTAATCCTTACGAGTTTAAAAGTATTGTATTCGTTGTGTGTAAGCTTTAAATTTATGTAAATATGACTCTGCGAGGAGATAGAATCTATCTTTTAATAAGTTTCGAAGTTTAGAAGAAGTATTTCCTGTTCAAGATAATCTGTTTATGTATATAATTTTATACGTCTTTGCGCTTTACTGCTATTTTATGCATGCAAATTTCTAATCACGACAAGATAATCAAGTTGTCGTTAATTAACGAATAACAAGACCTTAATGCCTTTCAGTCGGCGCACTTTTGCCTCGCACTGTGTGTTCTATCATATACGAACGGTATATTGTGCGGTAGTACCGCTGCTATAGTTACGTGAGTAACGGCCGGTCTAGTCCGAGGTATGAAATCGAAACTAGTTGTACCTTAATTAGAGAATAGAGCGGCACATACGCGAATAAGTGTGTGTAAGGTGCACGCGCGCAATTCTCGACCCCTGTCTCTCTCTCTTTTTCTCAAACATGTATCGCTCCGGTTGGCGCGATGGTTGCCACAATCAGAAATTTTCTGTTATATTGCACTTCTTTTAATTAATTCTTTTGGAATATTACGACATGCGCGTAAAAATATATTTCGCAAAATTATATCTCGTACTCGTATCACACAATAGTATTTTTATACATTTTAAAATACGTGGAAGTGATACGTTGCAAAGTTGATTACATCGATATCTTTCCTGTTTCTATAATTTTGTATTAAATATTCTACTTATATTTTTTGTATTCAAATCTTTTTGATTGTAATTTAAACTAATATTCCGTTTATAATCCATAATTTATCTCGAATATATCGCTGATTACCACAATAAACGGAGAATCGCGTTATGCCTCTGTTTCATCTTCCATAAGTATTGTCAGTTGTTTCACAATTTATTCTTATATCCCGTGCATTGACGTTTTACTTAAACTGCCGCTAGTAAATGCGAGCGTAATGCTCACGGACACGCTTTTCGCGTTTGTTAAAAGTGCGTTCAGATTGATCGAAGCTCCGATAATAATTGCCTAATATGCGAGAAACCATCGCATTGGTTTGAAATTTCTCAACAATTGTGAATTTCGAGGTAAATTCGGAGTAAAGATTAGTTGCGTTGAAAATAATGTATAGTTGAAAAAGATTAAGAAACTCGTCGATCTTATCAATTTGAACGCTTGTCGATATTTTTATTCGAACGTGTAATTAAAATTTATACCGGTGATTTTGTTTAATCATTAGACAAAAACACGAGTGTAACGGCCGTCACGCTGTTTGCGCGTGTGTAAGCGGAGAACGGTGTTTATTTCGACGAACGGTGCTCCGGCTATTATTTTTCAACCAACTAATACGTGCGAATCTCGGGCACGGTTTTACGTGTATCGAGCGGCGAGTCATTTCATTTCGTAACTGCTTAGATATCGCGTCAATTATAAAAACGATGATTCATAAAATATCGCTCTTTAATGTGAATAACATCCCGATTGAGTTTCACTTGGGATTTTGCGATCGCGCGCGTACTACGATCGAAATGTATTTAACATTCGTTCCGCGATTCTCTATACGCGAGATACGCCCACCTGGCGATAACCTAATTGGTCGCGCGTTGTTCCTACACGATGTAAATACGTACCCGTCACGCATGTAACAGCCGCGATCATTAATATTAATGAGGAAGGTCATGGGAGTTTCTTTACGGGACGACTTTTGCGGAACGTCGACCGGCGCCGCCACGTGAATTCTTAATTTAGTTGGCCGATTAAGGTCGTCGTCCGAATTAAGATCGCGCTTTCCAATTTTTGCTTTATGTCTCGAGCCGACCCTTTTACCATCTTGGGCCTCTTTGTTTCTCCCGTCCACTTTCTCGAGGAGCGGCGTTTACGCGTCAAGGGTCTGTGTCTCGCTTCCGGATGGTGCACGCTCGAAACCAAGTTCGCGTCCGGCTCGCGCTCGCTCGCATGAAAATCCTCTCGACTGTCATGTAATTGTACCGATGTAATTACTGTGACGGCGATCGGACAATTCGACCGACCACCGTATCGGATCTGTTGTCAGATACGATGACATTTTCAGGGGCGTGACTATAATTGTAACAATTCGTTCCACAGCAACAAAAAATGCTAAAACGTCGACATTATACTTAAAATGTAACACACAATTTTGCAATTACGTTACTTCTCCATTTTTGTCTTATCGAGACAGACAGAAGCGTCTCCTTTCAAAGAGAAATTTTACGTTGTTCAACATTTATGATGAACATGTTGACGATAGGCCAGTTTAGTTTGAAAAACCTTGCGGAATATCCTTTGTCTTTCGCTATTTAGAAGCATAATCGAGGGCGTGCCATAAATTAGGTCGACTACTTTTAACTATGTAACATTGCTACGGTCGACTTGGCACGCGTAATTTCGAGGATATTGCGAAATGTTTCTTTTACGATCGAGATGCTCGCGTAAAAAATGGCTCCACTACCGAGGAAAAAAAATGTTGAGATTAACCGCGATCGCGGAACATTTAATAAATCACGTGTCCCTTTCAGGCCTCTTTAATAAATCTCAGCTGTGAGTTAACAATTAGCGTTGCCGGTTAGTTGGAGTTGCTATTCGCGAAAGTAATAATAATTAAACCAACCATACGGAAAAACGCGCCGGTCTCGATAGCATTGGATTGCATTTGATACTTTTACATAAATTAGAAACGGATTTTGCAATTCAGATCTTTAACGCAACGAGATTATGCTAACGATCAAAACGATTTTCCGCAAACGGGTTTCCTGTTTAGTCGCATTAACTTTCAACTTGTAGGAAAAACAAGCAGCTGTTTATGTACAGGATGCCTCTTTTTTCATTATTGACTTTATAATAATTTTAATTGTGTTTAATTTATTGTCAATTTAATAGCGCAAAAGTTGATACATCGCAAGCATGTTTATCAAATTCATCAGATCTGACGAAGAAGAAAGGAGATAGACGTAAGAAATAAAAGTAAATGGTAAAGAAATGAAATATATAATTACCAAGATGGGCAAATGCTCGAAGATGTAGCAGACAAAAAGTATGCTGTAAACGGTAGATCTGCCACTGGCCTCGTCCACCTGTATCCTCTTCTTTCTCAAACACGCCCTGCTGTTGGTTGAACCACTGGTGCACGATCCGCTCGAGGGATCCCAATGTTGTGGGTGACAATCGAACGCTCCCGAAGAGTTCTTCGAGCTTGCCTCGGATAAATCCGAGACTGATTTAAGTAGCTCAGAAGTCGGTGGACGGCATAGGGTTTTAAAGGCCGCAACCAACACGCCGAAAAGAGACGCGAGGGCCAATAGACTTCTTAGAGAGTTGACAAAGACTCCGTACTTATGGGAGATCTCGTGAGCCAGAAAAACGCAGATCTCCGGCTCGAAGTTGAGAACGCCGGTGACACCGATGCAGGCGCTGATGACGCTCAAGCTCACCAAATGGTATTTGAGGTGATTTTTTGTTAGATTGATAACATCATCGCGACTGCTGATCGCCGCGAACACTGCGATCGACGTCAAGGTCAGTTCCTGAAGGATACTCGATGAGTTGAGCACCCAGACCAACGTTGAGCATAACTCTGCGACAAAGAAAAGTTGCTTAATGTTTTTCGGGCGCCGAGCCAATCTACTCTGCCGAATTCATTTATATACAATAATACATATAATCGTTGGAAATTGGTTGGCGCTCATATCAATTCCAAAGAGGAGACTAAACTCGCGATAGCAATATTGTGTACTATCATGATAAAATGTTACTATCTTATATAATTAATAATAAGATATGTCGCCGCACTTTATCGGAGTTGTTGTACGAAAGATTAGTAAGCAATAGTTACAGTTACCTCCAAAATGATTCGCTGGACGGATCAAAGTGAGGATCGCGTATAGCAGCAATCCTAATTGATGCGTGAGACTTTGAGAGAGAATCGCGACTGTCAGCACATCAATCTTTCTTTTCGAGGATGAGGATTGATTCTGGTAGATCAATAGGGACCATGATAGCAGCAGGATGCATATTGGCGAACCTACGCACGTGGCCAGCCATTCGCCCACTTCGCTTCTCATCTCTGCGGAGGATGAATAAAGGCTGTCAGCGTTTATTCATTTAATCGTTAATTATACTGTAATTCATGAATAATTGTATCCCACACGATGTTGCGCTAGTATCGCGTAAATAAATCTGTCATTGTGTCACTTTAATTATCAATGCGTTAAATTTCTCAACATTTCTTTTCAATAGTAATATCTAGCAAACGAGTCAAGAGTATCAGCAGATCAAGTATTGTTATACGTGCGACCAACGGAGACAAGACGATTTGTTTGCAATTTCTCTCGCATTCGCGCCTTTACTGTGGAATAAGGCAAGATTGTTCGCGGTGAGAGTAATGATATCCTAATCTCGATGAAAGCCTGTGTCGTGGCAATTAACGCGCCGTGTCGAATTATATTTGCTCACGAGGAAGAGCTGCGAATTATTGTTAATCAGCGGCAGTGGCGGTTACAGTTAAGTTATTAATGCGATGGAGGAGATAACGGGGTGTATAAATGTCACGAACGATGGCGCGGAGGGGATGCGACATTTTCACACGACACGTATCTCCTTTCCCTATCCTCATTCCTTTGTGACTCTCTCTTTTTCTCTACCTTCTAGAATCTCTTTTATACAGAGGTAATATAAAGAGATACTGTATTCAGAAAAAAGAAAAGCAATTCAAAAGTTTTCACCACTTGTGTCTTTAATATGTTAAAAGGCTGTTTTAATTTACTTGTTTGCGTATATTTGTTGAAGATCTTTCGGAAAATACGTAAGTAAATGTTGGTTGTATGCTTATAAGATCACCTTTTCTATCGCAAAGTAAAATAAATCCTCTCTTCTTTTCTGGTCTTGAAATAAATCTGTTCTTTATTTCGTTTTTTTTTTGGTTGTATAAAGTCGGGGCATGTTCTCCATCTCTCCTTACTACGCTTCTCACACTGTACACCGCCGAGGCAACTTTCTATTCCGCGCAGTGCCAGCGTCGCGCGATCTAATTTATCGTTCAAGTCGACTCGTGCCCATGCTCAGCAGCGAATTTCCCCTCCGTCTGAATCGCGAGGAATGGTCCCCTCGTGCGTCGTCGATGTCGGGCCCTTTCCCGTTACCAGAGTTACGCGCAAGATGCGGACATAGGAAGAGGAAGACACATTTCCGATCGCGTAACGGCACATTCATTTCTCGCGGCGCCTTTCGAATGTTGCATCCAAGCTTTTTTACACGCCGCAAATGATTACGTTTTATGAATATCATGATAAAACTTTATTACACTGAAAACGGTTGCGTGTTATAAATATCGTAATAAAAATTGGTCACACGGCGTATTGTCCGTACATTATAACTGTAAAAAATGCTTAATGCTGATTTCTTCCTACGATTTACATTCATACGAGGAAATACCGTTTGTTTCCTATAAAACATTGGCGAATATGGCGAGCGAGTAATTGTACTTTCACACGCGGATGCTTATCGAAAACGCATCAAATTTTCTGCTCAAGGAATAGTAAATGTGATATGTATCTCTCATCTCCCATTGAGTACGTATTTCCGAATGCCTACGAGTATCGCACTTTCACGAACAAACATAAATAAATGTTCTCATTCCGCTTGGCTGACATATACATTTTTTTGTTTACTCGATTATATATTTCCCTCTGGTAAATTAGATATTACCGGTCTTAACTGCTATGTAAAAATAATTTAGAATATCAATGAAAAAATATATTCCAGTACTTGAATTTCAAGCGCAGCAAGTACGGAGTAGTTTTCAGACACGGCAGACAGTAATAATCCTTCGCACCGTTTCGTAATCAGCTCAGTCCCGTTTAAGCTTGATACGAATGTTTCTGGCCTCTGTCTAACAATCTAACAAAAATTGTGTTATATGTATCCATACTCAAAACCAAGAGAGAAAGATATTTAGAACATAGATTTTTCCATTTTAAAATCAAACTTCTGAAAAGCACACTCCATTTAAATAAATATAAACAATTATTGTCCAATTGTTTTAATTGGAAACTCATTTTTTTAAATAAATAATCCAGTATTCTACAGAATTGTGTGTGTTTTTTTCAATTACATGTAGTTAGTATTGGAACGGAATCATGGTTATCGTTATTATGCTAAACTGGTTGCGCAAGCAGAAGAAACCGGGTTAATTTTCCTGCGAATGATAACAATGTCGCTCCGAAGAAACTGGATTGATAGCAATCTCGCGTCGCTATTATACTCGGCTCGTATAATTGACTCGTCCTTGTTCGTTACTATACTTTTACGTGAAGGATGTGGATCCTGAGAGGAAAATTTTCATTGAAATTTTGCCTACGACGAACTTTGCGAAAGAAGACAAGAAGAATTACGCGAAGAATCTCTCGACATGGGGTTTTACGAGCCACTAAAAGTCGACCCAATTATTCGTTCTTTAAACATACGGTAAAATTAGAAATGTGAGTCGGGAATGGTTTACGCGATTTGCCTGTTTGCGACCGTTATTCAGCCAGGCTGAAATTCCTCTGTGTGCGAGGCGACATGTTCGGTGCATTAGTAGGAAGTCGTTTCTGCTTCCGCAATCCACACTGCTTTTAAAATGTCTCCTTTGTATTGCAGCTTAAGCGAAGACGAATGGCAATTTAATTCGAACGGTATTCGAACAGACTCCTAGAAAGCTTCCTTTAAATTTGCGCTATTTATATAAGAAATAAAAATATACAGAATTAATTGTGAAACTGCAGAATTGTAATTATTAAGAGAAATGTTATTTATATGTAGTAAAATACAATTATATAAAGCAACAACGATGTACTTTTGAAAGTTTACTTATTTCTTACATGTAAGACAATTTCTCCCAATAGAATTTTATATCTCATATGTAATTAAATTTATATATTGGTATAATTAATCTTTATATAAAATTGTTATAAATTTCTTTTTATAAAATTCACAATTTTCCGTGAGCAATTTAACTCATTAGGTGATAAACAATCGAGTTTTTATTTTATAGTTTTGCATCAAGTATTTTACGCCAAGTGGGGTTAAAGGTGGATATATGCATCAAAAGGTGCGTCCATTGGAATGCATTCCACGCATATAGATAGTGGTTTGCAAGGTCTAACATGTCAGCGGGAGGCGTATCTCTCTCGATTAGACCGGAATGTCGAAAGGTGTAGAAGCGACCAAGGTCAGAGAAACAACTCGTGGAGGTGAACCTGAATCGTCAAGGGGGATGCTGCTATCCCGTGGAGCAGGGTCCGACCTTGTTTTGGTGGAGCCAGGCATAGGACCAGTTTCACCGATAATATCGCCGCAGAGAAGACCGATCCCTGAGAAAATGCGTAAAATTCAAAGCCCAGGATCCACTGTTACAAATTTTAAAACCGACCGAGACGATACAGAACTATTGACCTGCGTTTTCTTCGTACATTTAACTCTCAATGCAATCAAAGGTGTCCAGTAATTGTCTATAGTAATTTAAATAGTTAAATTCCAATTTAAGAGTGGACTTGATATTTTTTGTATAAATTTTCGAATGAAAAAATAGCACAGTAGTGTTTGCTGTTGGATGCATTGCGTGGATGTGGGACAGTTACGAATAGACTAGCTATAGATCGCGGTTACGAATAGCTTAACCACTTTTTGTCTGTATATTTATCCAAGCGTCATGTCGGTGATGGTAAATAGGGAATGAAACCGACGAAAGTCTGACAAGTTTAGAAACCGTTTGGTTAAATAGTTGAAGCGTATAGACGAGCTAGAGATAACTTTCTATTTAATAGAGATATTGTTGGTTACTTCAAGTAATTCGATTAAATGTTGTTTATAAATTAAAGTAAAGAATCTCCTAATCGTTGTATTTCTTATTACCGTTGTCTTTAGTAATGTTAATACGTGTTATTGAATAATATACATAGTTTGATAACTTTCTATGTTACAACAATCGATTGTGCAACCTTAATCAGTTCTATTCTGTTACCACTGTTATTATTTTGTCATACAAACTACACTTATATAATTTAATATCTAAAAATCTGTATTTAAAAGTATTTGAAAACGCCAAGTTATTTTGTTCTTCTGGCAAAGTTTATTTGAAATTTTTCAAAGAATATCTTTGAAATATCAACAGACATTCGGAGATTAGCCGAGCGTGTTGGTGCGGAAGAGTGGTGCGGCCGAATGCCGGTGTGTGCCGTGACTTGAATGCGCGCAACAGTACGAGTGCGCACGAATGGCGATGATCGTCGCGGTCATGAGTGCGCGTGTATATTACGCGAAACGGATCAACGACGGAATTACGTTTATGATTATGGCCTTCGTCCAATTAATAGGTACTAGAACGTGCGACGTACATCCAACGTGGCGCCCACGTGAAAATGATCCCTCGTATCATAGTCATTGTCGCCGAGTTGATTCTAACTCGGTCATGTGAAACTTTTACGATAAACCACCTACTACTCGTGTTTCCTCCTTTCTCTCGTTCGTCTCTCGCATGATTTCTCTCTCTCTCTCTCTCTCTCTCTCTCTCTCTTAAGAAATGATCCCCAAAAATGTCTAACGACCTCCACCTTGGGATTATGTTTCACGGTTGTTCCCAACCAAGTGTTGGACCACCTTTCGGGCAAGTAACAAAAACAGACAAACTAGAAAGTAAATCCTTCCGTAATGTACTTTATTTCACCAGAGAAATTTTATTTGATGCAACGGAACGAGATTTCGTCGATCTCTTTGTATTTGCTTTGCTTTTCTAGATAAGTACTTGAGCAATTCAAAGAGGTTCTGTCAAGACTTTCTTCAAGAGTAATGATATTTTTATGTTTTAAAGAATATAAAATGCTGTTTATATTCTTTAACCATTATTTAAAAAATTCTTTTGTTAGACTAAATCCTAAAATTGAAAATTAGAAAAATAATTTTACAAAATAAACTTTGTCAATTTGTAGAATAATACGTTATGGTAATGAGAAGGAGATCCTATAGCTAAAGCGAATTAGATCTTTCTAATTCGAGTCTTGGCACGAACGTCGGTTTGCTGTTTGCACCCGGTTACTGCATCGCCGTTTAAAGTAGGTTACGAATACGATCGTGCTTTGAGAAAGTAACCAACACCGTTGATCTGTCGTTTCGCTCACCATGATTAGCTACGTACATTCACTAGAATAAGATCAAAAATTTGTTTTATATACCGCTATGACTATGTGTGTAAAATATATTTTTCGAGATCAAACAATAGAACTGCAAGCAGAGGGTAATATTACAAAAAATATATTATCGGCACTACCAAAAACTTTCAATGTGAAACCTTTTTAAATTCGTTAAAGAAAAATAAAATAGAAGAAAATATTAAAGTGGCAATGTTTTCCACATTCATCTTTATCCCCTCTTCCTTGTTTCCAAATATTTCAGTAAAAGAAATGTTTCCAACTACACTCTGCACGTGCTAAATTCCTAAACCCAACCCGGTCAAGTGATCCGCGCGGTTTTGAGGCCAGAGAGGAACGGGTTTAACGCGGATTGCGAAGGGTTCCGTTGCCGGTGCTCGATATAGCGTTACGAGAGTCGATTTACAATACGAGCAACAGACTCGAAGAATGCAAACGTGCTCTATTATTATTCTCTCGCGTACAGTTATTCTTCGTTTTGTTTGCGAGACGGTGACGGAAGATTCGATGTTTAACGAACTCCTGTCAACTCTTGAGACGCAAATTATGCGAAACCGCGTACGCGCGCGTTGTGCAAGAGAACAAGTGCACGTTACGCAGGTTGGATTCCGATGCAAATGCGGATTACGCACTTACAAAATTGCACATCTGCTACCGTGATCGCGTAGAAATGCACGTGCTACATATTCAAAATCCGTACAGTGCAACAATCCCAGATATAATATTCTGCGCAGGTGGAGCGGATATTACCGTGAAATTGCGGTACTTGAGTGGAGTAGCGATCTTGGGCGGTCTATCTGATTGAGGACTGCATTTACATTGTTACGCTCATTGAGCGAATTAATGCACCAACCATAAGCCGACGCAAGGACGCGAGGAAGACACGTCCTTGACGTTTCGCCATGCCCGAGTCAAACAATTGAAAATTCACGAGTAAAACGAAACGAAAGAAATTCAACTATTCGCACGTTCTGTTTCTCATTTTGAGGCACTAAAATATGTGTGACTTGACGAAAAGTATAAAAATTAGAATGCAGAACATTGCTTCTTTTTTACTTATTTGTTATTTGCTTACTGCCAATTGTCAATGATTATGCGGGACCAGTGTGGTATGTCGCATCGCTAGGGCGAGCCTGCAGGATGCGCGTGTTTGGGACAGATATCCGGTCCCCTGGTAGCGTCCTGTGATTTCTTCGTTTTGGCATCAGCTCTCTTACATTATGCACGAAATGCCACTCCTTCTTCTCAATCCACTATTCACGATATATATTTCCAGATCAACTCGCGCCTTTAACTTTGACGAGTGGCAGCTGTAATCGTAAACCTGAAATGCCTTTACTTATGGGTGGAACAGGGGCACCGTTTTAACACGCACGATACACCAGTCACGAGAAATTTATTTTCGTCGATTTCTCGATCAAGCACCGATCAATCGGCAGAACTGCACTGCGACCGAAATGGATCATCATCCAGTGCGCAAACTTGTAAAACTAATGTTTAAATCTGCTTTGTTGATTAAACAAAATGGAATTACTGATAATTAACACTCACTTTGTAGGAAGATAAGGTGTAGTCATGACAGAGAAAGTAATGAGGACGAAACGATGTTTATAAAAGAATTTTGACATCGGTGCGTCTCGATTGCTATGCGTTACAAAAATTGACAATTGAACGCAACCGAGAACGCGCGACCGAGCGAGCAATATTGCCGCGAAGAAGCCCGGAGCGGGACTGACTGGCGACTGGCGGTCAGGATTCATTTGGGTCAGCAGCACAACGTAGTATACCAAAGATTGCCTCTCGACTATACTATCTGTTACAACTGTACGGAGTGAAGGTGCTATGCTATGCGCGTTATAACGGAGCTATCCTCGCCATTCGTGTGGTTCGATTTTTCTTCCGGACATTCCGCGCGTTTCACATTTTTTCTTCGCATTATTATTCGCATGTGAAGAGTGTCCAAAAATGCAATTTTTTAGGTGCGTATTGTTTAGTTTATTTAAATTTTTTAATATATTAAAAATTTCGACATGCTATTTCGTATTTTAAATAGAGAGAAAAATGCATTCTTGCCTTCTAATACAATTCCTTTTTGTCGCACATTGCTTTTTATTTATAATGTCATTATTACAATTACGATAACATTTATAGTCATGTTACGATGGATGTGCGATCTTAATAAGTACAATCGATATTAAAGTGAAGAATTATTGTCCAATATGCGTATTACAAAATGCTCATTAATTGATAAGATATTTATTTGAATTTGAGAGATGCAACTTAATAGTTGTACAAATATAAATAATGCTTGAGGTTGGCACAGATGTCTCATGTTCGTCATATAGCGATTGAATGAACACATATGCAATTAAATGTAATACTTAAAAATTATTCGAAATTATTCGTGTCATCAAGAAGCGATATAAGTGTGCAATAATATTAAATATAGGAAAATTATCACAAGTATGTACATCACATTGTGAAATGAGGCATTATCTTATTTTTCGTTCATTTTCATTAACCTTTAACAACTAGTCACTTAACAATTACTTTCATTATTATGAAATTTAGCAAATATAATGTCACGAATACGTTTTGTACATTGCATTCTGTTAATAGTTGCAATGTTAAACTGTGTTTTAGGAGATTTCTATGTTGAGACTAAGATTAAATTAAAAAAAATAAACAGAACATAAACCTGATTTCATAATATCAGTAATATTGTATGTCTCTTAAAATATTTTAATGCCCCTTCACAAATTGCATATAAGGCTAGACTTGATAAACTTTTATAAGTTTGCAGTGTCAATATTTAATATTTAACTTGATGAATAATCTGTACGAATCTTTATATTATAAAAAAAATATATTTTTTCCGTATAGATAATACTCTTCTGTTTTAAGAAAAATAGGCTTTTGTAATCTCACAAGGTATGCCATATCTTGAGAAAAGTTTTACTTATTTTTTGGAAACTCTAGAACTGATAATGCAATGGCATGGAAGTCTTTGGTTTAAATTCTACGTAATGCGAATAATCCAATTGCAACACAACGTAGTTGTTGTTAACAAACGCTCTTCTGAACGGATACGCGTTTCCTTTGAATAAAAGAGTGCATAGAGGCGGTTTGTTTGCCGCTTTCGCCGCTCCATTATCAGTCATGTCCCACAAATCGATCATTTGACATCCTTGCGGCCTGAAGAAATAAAATGCAACGTTACGCCATTGTTTTTGTACTTACGTTTCTCTCATACTTACACGTTTGCAAATCCAAGGCACAACGGTTCCTCTAATACAACGTAACTGACTTTCATGTTTCTTAAAGAGGTATACACAGAGGAAGCATCTTTCCGACTAAAAATCTCATAAACTTTCAGAGTTCTATCTCTACAATATGATAAGACATTTATATAAGTAGATATAATTCCACGTAGTGTCAAACGTTAACTCTTCATTCAAATCCTGTACCTCATTTCCTTGCTCTCGTAATAAGGATTATTGACGATCGGTCTCCTAGTGGACAGCATTAAGTTCGCCATCAAAGACATTTTTCCCGCAAATACAGCGTGTTTCGGAGTATTATCTTTTATCCATTCAAATAATTCTTCTTGGTCAATATTACTGTATTCACCTGTGTAAAAATATAATTGAAATGTTGTAGAAAGTCAATCAATTAAACTTAATTTGATAATACAATTACCTATGAATCCACGTTCCTCTTGGAATCTGTCGATGCCATGGTACGACATGCCACCTAGTAAAAGAATAACAATGACGAACCGCACGAGTTCACTTTTCAAGCCGATTTTCTCGAGATATCGTTTGCTACACACGGCACCAGCTATTATGCAGAGATGCGGTGTCATAAACAGCTTTAATCTCATAATAAAAATGGCCATAATGATGAAGGCGCCGACCTGTAGGCCATTGTATGCCATGTCGGCCTCTATGCAAAACGGATAACTGCTCGTCTTAAAACTTCTGTACCAGTAATACAGTGCGAGCATTCCAACGAGTATCGCTGTTGGTAGTAATAAGGTCTTAATAATCGCTTCGTAAGTTTTGTACTGCAGAAAGTCGAATTCTGCGGAACACGTATAAAGCATAGTATGGAAATCTCGATAGTTTGTCAACTTTGACTTCAATATGTTAAATACGTGGGCGTCGTCCTGGGAATATAGAATGTAGGATTTTATCCACTTTGTCAAAGTTATCGTTAGGGCAATTTCGAGAATTATTTCTCGTTTCATGTTTTGAAATCGAGACAATCTCATTATAAAACTGGCCACATTACTACCGATCATAATGCACGTGTAAAGTGAACAAAGAGTGCCGTTTGTTATCGTAATTGCCGCTGCGATTGCTAAAGCGTGTGCTTTACAAAAACTTTTGTAGAACTCGTACGGAACGATCCTCAGCCATTTTAGTATAAGAATGGCTATAATTTGCGTGGTGAAAACGAAATGCGAGAATTGCCAACTGCACAGGCTATAAATTGTCGACCAAAATATATCCTGGAAAAGCAAAATACAGTTATATTTATAATAAAAGCAATTTTCTGCTCATTTATATATCTAAGAAATAATCTGATTTTATATCTTACATTGAATAGCCCTTGCTTAGTTTTGTTTCTTAACGAAACTGGTTCTTTCGCCGCATCATGTCTTGTATATTTCCTGATAGCCATAGTAACGCAATACATTTGAAAGAGTAACACAGGATACGCGAAAGTCTCTCGCAACGGTGGTGTCCATTGAACGCGAGTACATTCGTTATGATTGAAAAAGAAGAACAGAATTGTTATGAGTCCACCGTAAATGGAATTACTCAAGTACGTTGCGTAGTAAAAGAGTACTGCTGCTGTGACAACTGTGGTGGACCAGACTATTTCCAAATAGAAGTATACAGGTACACCCAGGCCCTCACAGCTAGTAATAGGTGGCAAACCATCTCCTCTTTCTATCTGAAAGTCATCAGCTTGTTAGTATTTCATAAAATTGATATTTCAGAAAGAAATTTTGCAAGTCTTACCTGCCAACATTGTTCTTGAGATATGATACCAAGAGTCCTCGCAATATGATAAAGGAAACCTGCTAGAATCTACATAATAAATAATACTGTAAAATCAGTACGTTCAAATTCAGACGATAGAGAAGAAGCTTTATCGAGAGATATTACCTCGGGTAACAGACTATATTTTCTGCTGGCATCAATGACATTGTTGTACTCTGACAGATTGTCGTGAGTGATCCTTTCCATTCCATCGTAAAAACCTTTGGATTCAGCAATGGTCTTATAATACGAATAATACATCCCCTAAAAAACAAAACATCTGTAGATGTCGATTACTTGCGTCAAGTGTACTTTATTAACATTATTTCTATATTTATGTCATAACTTATTCATGTGTTATGATTAAACGAAAATTATCTCATGTTGCATTGCTATATACACGTATATATTTAGCCTAAGATACTGTTTTTTTAATTGGTATTCTTTCTTAATTAACTATTTTGTATTTCATTTAAATACAGATAAGCCCAACAACTAAATGCAAAAGTTTGAGTTGCAAAGCATTAACTTTTCATCAAGTAATTTCACACATTTAATAATGCATACTAAATAAGCACTATTGCAACATTTAAAACTAATACAAATATTTTACTTTTAGAAAACAAAAAAGACACATATATTAAATTTGTTTCCGATACACTGAATACACCACCACACACATAAAGTCTTTCGTACGTCTTTTACATTTGTTTTGTAATACACAAGAATATATTGTTTTAAGAGAATTTTAATTGTGTTAATATTTTGATTTTTATTAGAAAATATAAAAAAAACATTGTTCAACTTTTCCATGTAGGCAATTTTCCAACATTTCCTCAAACTTTCAATGTACAATTAATATTTACTAAAGTATTGATAAATTGATATTCCAATAGTTACTACTGGTGCATAAACAATGCAAGATACTTTTAAGAGTAAAACACTTTTGCATAGAAATCAACAAATGTCAAACGAGTGTGCTGTCGAATGTTGAATCAAATAATAGGCCCATTTTTCCGTTAGCTATATCGCGACGATTCCAGTGAAATCGTTATAGATCAATGTAAAATACAATAGTAGTGCAACAGTTTGTTTGCCAGGAGTATTCGGAAAACTGTGAGATAAATTTTTCCCTAATGGATCCCACCATCCTCGCTCCACATGTGGTTTCGACCAAGGAATTTTGGGTTACGTCAGGTACGTAGAATTACCGAATGGTCTACGAGCCCGACCTAGCACTATTTCTTCTTCCCAAGACAGAGTAAAATGTGTGGATTATTATTTAGCACTGCAGCAGCGATTGACATATATCTCAACTTTCTTTAAAATAATGATCCCAAGTGTCAGGACGGTTATTTATCGATGGGATGAGAATATATAATTTCATTAAACATTTCAAGAAACAATAAATCTGCAACAATTTGTTGTTTTATTTATGCGTCTGTGGAAATATTCGGTGTTGCCTACGTATAGCTTGGTACAGCATTGCATTTTATAAACCATTCGATTTGAAGATAGACAAAAGCGCCTCGGTTCGGTCGATATAAATTTCTACACGATCGATTTACGCATATGTCGCGTATAGCCATAAAGTATCATCACCTATTATCATACCATCTCAGTCCTGAAGGACATTTCTCGTTCAATTTCCGAAAGATGAGAAAAGTGTCGGTCATTTTCGAACAGCGTGGATACATGCCAGCGATGCAAACAACCAAAACCAAGACCTGCCGTTGAGAACAAAGATTATTTCACTCTTAAACAATCCCTCGATCGTAGATCACGTCGGAGGCTCAACATTTTATGCGGGCAAGCGAATATTATTACCCAAAAGATTTACAGCCCAATGGTAAAAAACGGTACTCTCGTGTGCCGGTTTCTCGGCTACTCTACGTTTCCTGTCACTCCTCGTTGCCATCTTCGAACTTGTAGGTCATGTGACTACTATGTGCTCGCTAGGAACGGCGCCAAGTTTTAAACCCTTCAAAAATCTTACTCTTTTCTTTCTACGAAAACACAGAATTTGCAAAAAAAAAGAATTTATTTACGCACTTTATGTTATTATTTTTATGCACGGAACATTTTTTATTTATCAATGCTTGTCTTTATAAATAAAATCTATTTTGAGGCTTGCTTGTAAGATTGAAAATACAATTGTTATTTCGCATTTTGATTCTCTGCTCCACTTTTATAAATGCGCAATTAGATTTCTAATTAAAATCTCCCTTCTTCTCGTTAAATTATTTTCAATGTGTCAGCGTCTTCAAGGGTGATATTTTTGACGTTCCTGGAAGTGCGCATGTATAGCGAAGCATGGTGTGCGTCGGCACTCCCTCCTGTTATCGATCAGTCGCGTGGTAGCGGTTGTAGCCCGTCGTGTCATGGAGGATCTCCTGCTGCAGATCATAAGGGAGTCGAATAATGCAAGACTACAAAATTTACGGAAATCGGCGCAGGAAGCGCACGGTGAGTGCGTCGTGTTCTTCGTTTTTATTCCATTTTTTATTAAGCATTTATCGCATCAAAGTGTCGCTCTTCTTTCATTCCGGAGGTGTCAAGCACAGACTTGACATTCTGAAATAAATCCATACATGTATTATTATAAATATTTCTCATTTAATTTGATAATATTTAAATCTCTTCGTGTCCATTGTACAAATGTAAATGTATTTGTTAAGTTACCTCAATTTGAATACGTATCGTGATGGCGCAATATGATTGACATGATTGCGCCAAATATATTCGCACTTATTTTCCATGTGTTGAGGACAATCTGTTTTCTTGCAGATTTTCTGGAAAAACAGCAAGGCTTGCTGCGGGATCCACCGCACGAACTGCGCGCGAAATGCTTACATACGTTTCAGCTAGCATTAGAAAGTAACAGAAGCAAATTTGTTGCTTTTGGACTTGCAGGATTGCACGTAAGTAATATAATAAAAATAATCTCTTGTGAAAAAAACACCTTTGTACGAAAAAATAAATTATTTCTGCGTAAAGACGGCAATGTGATTTTTAGAAAATGCATAGAAAATGTCCGTAGCGACGACACGCTTTTGTATTTTATCTCTGAATTAGTTTTCTTCCCGTGTATGTTGGTCGCACCAGCATTGATGTAACCGCTTGTGGAAACGTATGTCCCGGAACTGTACGCGATAAAACGATAGATACCGACGAACAGCTGCGACAGTTTAAGTCACTGTGGCGGATGACTTTTAATTAGTTTTGATAGCGCGGCAAGTTTCTTTTAGGAATTCTCTAGTAAACATTAAATAGTTTGGATAGATGAATTATTGCGATTAATTAGGTGAAATGTGTTTAGATCGATCTAATTTATAATTGCAGTTTTAAACAATTATTAATTAAATTATAAATATGATGGTCAAATTAATTTTGCAAAAAAAAAAACTAAATACCTAAAAATGAAAATAAAATTTGTAGAAAATGTTAAGAGACGACAGATTCCAGTCACCTTACGAGCCAGAAGATGATTCGCTATGGTTGCCTGCACAAATGTTGCACGCCATGAGCTCCATCGTCTCGCAATCTGATGATACACAAACGGATATGCTCAAAGTGAGTGTCACAATACTTGTAAAAATATTTTAGATTGGGTATTAAAAATACGACACGAAAATGAATGAAAATGTAAGAAGATTTATGTAACATATTTCTTGTTCTTGCTTTAAGATATCAACTTAATTGTGGGTAATTTTATCGTTTCTTTTCCAGGTCTTGCTACAGGTCGCTTGCTCTCCTTATTGGACTATGAACGGCCGTTTGATCATCGCTATATTGACTACTTGTTGCGAGGCGTTCGAGAATGGCAATCAAGCTGTGCGTACAGCTGCACAGGCTGCAACCAGTCAAACGTTGCGATCGTTTTGTCTCTTTTTAGGTAACGCAGAAATTCGAGCGAAAAAATTTAACGTAACATCGGCTGTTGATACATTACGCCTTAGATAGTGATAATAGCTTCTAGACACAGTACTTTCAAACACGGATGTTTGGTCGATATAAATTACAAGATCGCGTGCCGGTAGCATGCGGGTTGAAGAATGCCATCGGCGAAGTAACCCAAACCTCATTGACTGTCTATACCGTACCTGTCTATACTGGCGGATGCATCACCAGCATTCCAATATTTGCATTTGAATATTTATTATTATGCGTTATTGTGTTTCTTTGTAGACGAGGAGTGTCAGGAGATGGACGAGAATGCTAAGCGGAATAAAAATGTGCGCGAGCGAGGTGTTTCGTGTTTTAACGAGGCTTTGCCGATTTTGCAGTACATCTGCAGTAAACTGGACGAGGCTCAGAAGTAAAAATACACCTTAGAAAATTAGTGATGTAAAAGAAGCCATTGTGTTTAATACTATAGTAATATTTAGGAAATCCTGTTCCAGCAATGGGCGAAACGGCAATACTGTAGTCTTCCTACTGGAATGTTTGCACACGCTCATATCGTCGCTACCGCAAAAGATTCATACTAACGCACACTTTACGACTTTTCTATGGCAGAAGTTCTGTCCGGCTTTGATAGCCTTTTTAGGCACTCCTCGAGTAGATAAGACCTTTACCTCTCGGGAGGGAAAGGAGAACGAGGTCGGCAGGGGTTCCGGGTACTTGGCCACATCATTGAGTTTCGACAGTCATCAGGCTAAAACGGTTTATAGGTAAAAATACAGCAAATTTATCGTTGTCATAAACATTACTTTTCGATAATTAAAAAAAACACTTAATATTGATATTGTATAAAAAAAACTTACATTTCTTTTCCAGCATTGGCACAGAACTAGTAAGATTAGTAGGATGTGTTGGCCCATTGCGACCAGTTTTAGAATCCGTGTTCCACAGAATGTTGCTTTATCCTCCACCGCAACAGCGTTTAGAACCCTTAAAAGCATTGAAGGAATTACTGCGTAGTCCCAGTCGCATGGTTGATTTTGCTGGACCACTGCTTGTGGAAGAAGATCGGTCAAGCCATATACAAAGTGATATGGCACTGATGAGACTGTGAGTATTTCTCGCAACATAATCTTTGATGTAAAATAAATAAAGCATAAAATGACATAAAATTTAGTTTAATTTAGTTGGATTTTTTACAAAATTTTGCATACATTGTACTTTAGGGCCATGGACTCTATAGAGGAATCAACGACGGGTGGACTGACTATATTGCATGCGAGTGTCTCCTGTGTTGTCGCCATGCTATCGGCGCTTCAAGAACTATGCGAGGGCAAGGCCATTAATCACAATTATACTTGCACGATTAATAGTTTGTACGAAGATTTAGAATCCTGTGATTATCGCGGACCTCTAACTTACCAAAGCATGGCACGATTACCAAAAACATATAGGTAAGTGTAATGATAATTAATTTATAAAAATACAATATAAATTTGTCTACACAGTTTTGTTGAGAATTATATATGTATTTATGATATTGGTAAAATATGACAATTTTTATTTCTCAGGGAACAATTGGAGTTAATGAAGAAAGGCATGGGCTCGGATTCCGACTCATCTGGGCATGGACCATCGGAAGATGGTGATTCAACGGACACTGAAGGTCCGCAAAATGAATCGGACGAGGTTCAAGAAGAAAATAGTCTTGACGACAATGATTGCGCAACGGAGAATGAATACGAGAGACTAAGATTGAAAAAATTACCCAAGTGTCTTCATGTGGGTCGACAAGTGGCCGACGAATGCAACGTAGATGTGGAGAGACACAACGCCAGGCGATTTGTAAAAACTCTTAGATCCGATCTCATACCCATGGTCCTCACTTTGCGAAGTAATATAGAGGTGGATGAGGCGTTACAGAACTTTGCTTCTGAATACTGCCAAGGTATATACACACCATTGATAAAGCTTATAAAATAATACATAAAAATTATACTAATATTGAGATAATGATTTTTTTGTTGATAAAAACATTTACGTATATTTGATATACCTTAGGGGTGTTTGTAGCTCAGCAAAAGATACAGGAACAAACTGACACTGGTACGGATTCATGTGCGTTAATCACGATCATGAACGCCGATGGAATTTACCTGGCGACGTATGCGGCATTGCTTCTTAATCTGAAATTAATTCAAATCAATTATTATCATGAGGAAGGTCGACAAGTGCCAGTCAGTGAGGTATGTCTAATTACAAATATCTTAATTCTTTTTGAATTTGTCGTATTATTTATTTTCCTTAATTTTATTTTTAAGGAGCGATTTGTGGAAGAGGTGCACGGATCGGGTGTGCTAGTTTATCTTTCAGCCACATGGCTCTCTGAATTGTATCAACAAGTTCTCGCATGCAATTTACTTGAAAAATGTGGTTACAATCCTAGCTCCACGGAGAATAATGCACTGGTTAACGTTCTCACGGGTATGCAGTATTGAATTACTGTTTTAGTTAAATAAAGAAAATTGTTAACAAAATTATATCTTTTGTAATAGCTAAATCACAACTTTTTAATTTGATTAATAAAACTTTGTTATATGCAATTTATAGACGTGGATGGTATACCTGGCAGTCACAGAGGTGGACAATTGCTTTCTGATTATATAAGATTGGAACGAGCCCAACTTTCTCGAAGTGAACCAACTCCGGAAGCGGAGGCTGGTGCAAAACTCTCCCGAAGAGTGCTGACTTGTTGTTGGGGCAGTATGATGACGGTTCTCACAACGGGACTGAATCCTCCTAAGGAGGAAACCAATAAAGGCATCCTAAACAGAGACGGTGGAAGACGAGGAGTCAGAGACACGGTTGTCTTGGCGCTTGAAGGTCTTCACAAAGCTGCTACATTAAGCAACGTACTTGGTATATATTTTTCTTTTTAATCAGATTTTTTTTTAATATTCATCTTCTTATCTTATCTTATCTTCTATTACAGGTTTACAGAATCGCTGCGGCTCCATTTTTGCTC